ACAAGATGCCGCTGATATGTCGTGGGCTCATCTGGTTTAGGACGATGATATATGGTGCTTTCAACATGATCTCGAGACCGAAGGTGCTTTCCGCATCCACGAAGGCGTAGTGGTCGCGTACACCTGGAACCGAGAAAAACAAATGTTCGTCGCGCTGGGGAAAGAGTTTGATATGACGCAAACCAGACTAAAAGATGCGTGGCATGCCACCATGTTAATTCTAATGATTCCATGTTAGGTCTCATACCACAGACTTAGAAACAAAATACAAAACAGGTAAGAACTGACGAATTATTAAAGCGAAGAAAGCCTAGAGTTAGTTTAGAGGAAAGATTTTGTTCAGCTCTGTAAAGTGGGATTGAGAGTTAGTGTGGAGAGAGATGAAAGTTATAATCAATTGCCGCGTGTGAGCCGGGCTCTTACCTTGACTGTCCTTAGAGCTCCGGGAAAGTAGTGCTGAGCTTCCTTGAATTACTGGTTTTATACTCCAACCTACAAAAAGTATCATTTTTCGAAAAGTGGGCATGGAACGCTCTGGGTAATTTCGGTTGTTTGTCAAGGATTACTATGTTACAATCCGGTAATTAAACCGTCAGGCAGCTTTTTCAGGCGCCAATCCACCACGTACATCGTAACTCAACGCTCCGGCTGTCTTTTTTATCAATTCCAAATCATAGCTTTTACTTTAAAATTTTGGGCGAATTAGCCTTCATTACAATGTAGTCTGGAGAGTAAGTGACATGATGTTATGACAGGATTAAGAGTGATAGCAGAGCAAGCTTGAAATGGCAGAAATCGCCGGAAACTACGATGGACAAACAAGATGTGCGTAAGTTCTATTGATTTTACGTGTAGAATGTTCATATTTCGAAATATTTATCGCTGTAAATCGACCGCATTTCGCTCCCCATGCCATTCCTTGTAACGTGTTCAAATTCCCAAAGGTTCCTTTCGTAACTTAACACCGAGTCACACAACGCGTGACGCTTTCATGAATTACTCGTTTGCTTCTCAACGGGGCATAACCATACCTTTTCTTTTATAAAAAAGAACCCATGTCCCGCATAAAAACCTAACAACGAAGATCAGTAAATTAGGTGCCTCAATACTCCAGCAAAAATTGTAAAAAGCTTGTGACTGCGTTTATTTCCTTTGCAAAGGTCCGCTTGTTAGAGATTCGCCCAAGTAAACGAAAGCTTTCACTGACATGTTTATTTGGATCGAAGGCTTTTAACACCCATCAAGATGCAGGTCAAATGATCATCAAAAGCGATTTTGTTGACACAGCCAGTATATTTTTCTTCTCTAAATATGTTCAGCTCTTTACTATGGAGATGGGAAAATATTGAGGAAACTTTGGCGCTCTACAGTGGAAGGGTCGCATACTTCGGGATTGTGGAAGGATTAAACAGGCTAAATCGTACCTCCCAAGAGATCCACGATGTAAATTATCTCGTCAATAAGTATGCAAGTTGAGATGTAATGCAATCTTTGCTCTGGCATCCTTGGAACTCGTTCAGCTTATCAAAATAAGCAAACATAAATCCGGATAGCGTAATACACATGTGGACTGAGAATCCACCCACTCTTTGCACGCTTGAGGTAGAGTTCTTTTGATTTCTAAGGCGTATATTTTTTTCCAAGATATATATAAAGCGCTATTTTTCCTCTCTCCGTAAGGACTGGACATTAAAAAGTGGTGGAAGACGTAAATGTCTTTAATTGAAATTCAGCACTCTGATTCCAACCTTTCCGTTTGGACGAAAAGCTCCTGTTTTCGGGGATCATTTTTTCCAATGCTCTTCCTTTTTAGCTCACTCATGCTGGAAGCAATGAATGAGGTATTGTGGTGAAGAAGATGTTGAAGCAAGTTGTCGACCGTGAATGGAAGCTGTATTTCGTAAACGGAAGTTGCATTGTGGACCGTGAACGGAAGTGGTCTCACTTGTTACCCCGCCCCCACTTAGTGAAAGTCAAAATTAATTTCGATGAACTCAAAAACTCACATGGAAAGAAATAAAATGTTTGTATGGTTTAATAAAAATAATAACCTCAAATCGCGTTTCCGAACTTCTAAAAATGCAACTTGTATCAAGAAGCCGAAATGTTCACACCTAATTTCTAAAGGGAAAAGCGAAGCGTTGCTTTCGTGACTGGCCATTTGTTTACTTTTCTGGTAGTTTTATCCCTCATCTGTTTGGTGACTACGCAAATATTAATATGTGAAAATCAGACTGCATGAAGGCTTGAAATTCTATTAAGAACGATTGTGGCCGTTTTGTTTAAAATCAAATGCAGTGGCCACTTTGTTAGAAACAAGAGACATCAAGAAACGGGCAAGGAATATTTCATAATAGTGCAAATGATTGTAAAAGATGAGGGTTGCTAATATTTACTGTTAGAGCAACATTTGATGCCTGATTATGCCCACCGGCACACCCCCGCCCCACAAACACATACACACACCAACCAAAAAACGATACTGTCTGCGTAATGACCTCTACTCATCCTACCTCCAGTGCACACAACGGCTTTTTTCCAATTCCCATCGCGAAGAATGCACACGTTTTCTTATAACACAACTGACCCCAAAATAAAAGAAATTTATTCTAAAGTCTTAATAAATCTTATAAACGGAATTCAACTGTACCTATATTCCACAAGTCCAAGAAATCAATATAAACTTAAGCCATGATATGAATGAGCTGGTTCCAAGAGCCTTTTGATTGCTTTTGTTTTGTTTGTTTTTTTCCCTTTCCACTGACGAATAAAAATGTTTTTTCTGCTTCACTAAAAGTATTTTTAGCACGATTCTT